TGGTGTGTGTTTAAATTATAAGCTAAGGATATATTTAGATCATTTGATGTGTGGAATGAGAAAAACATAATGTAACTAAATTAATAAGTGTGTGAATTAAGAAATGATGTGCACAAAGTATAAATAGTGTATGGAAATAGAATTACTCTCAAAATGGGTTAAAAGCTAAAAGCTAGCTTCCCAAATTGCCCCTTAATTATGAGAAAGGATTCTCTCTAGTCCACGTGGATTGAATAGTATTGTTAGGATCATGTAGCAACCCTCACCTTACTCTTGTCATACTTGCATACATTCATGCGTGATCTTGTCTTGTTATGTTGTTTTGCAAGTTTTGCCTTGTCTTGCTTTGTTTAAGTATTGCTTGCATGATTTTTGTTCCTTACTTGGAGTGTAGCCAAGGTCATCTTGAGCTTAGTTCACCTCTGAACCTTTGTGCTTAGAACTGTTTTGGAACCACTTGGTCGACCCCCATCTTCACCCGAGCATGTTTGCCAAGATGTTTTGCACTTAGTGATCCTTGTCCTTGGGTAGGTATGGCCTAGACCGAGGTGTGGCACACCCCGGCCAAGGTATGGCACAGCTTAGTCAAGTGTCGTCCTCCCTAGCCGATGTCTTTGTTACCCTGTTGCCGAAGCTTTAACTTTAGCCGATGTCATTACTTGCCGATATGTCTTGCCTTAGCTTGCTGCATACGCTTTGTCATAGACTTGTCTTATCAATCAATCACCTTTCAAGTTGAACCAACCCAGTAGCACCACGTGTCCGAGCTGATTGTTAAGACAGCCGGCAGACCTAGAAACAAATCATTTTGTCTCAAATCTTTGCCTTTGGAGAGAGAAACTCTAGAGAAAGGAGGAGAAGTTCTGAGTGAGAATAGATCTTCCAAGCTTGATCTTGGAGGTTTGAACCGTTGGATTCGAGTTTTGAGGTTAGAATCTTAACCTACTCTTGTTGTTCTTACTGATCATTTAGCTGCATTGCATGATCGGATCTGTTTTGCATGTCATGCATCGATTTGAAGTTGGTTTTGGAAGAGAAAGACAGTATTCATGTGTTCTTGAAGAAAAGTCTCGTTTTGATCCGGAAGTTTGGAACAAGAACCATGTTTTTGTGTTTGTTCTTGCATGATCTTCTTGTATGGGTACCCAGGTCCATGTTTTGAACTCATGGCATGAAATTTCAGATTTTTTGTAACAAGTTATGACCTTGCATTCATCTTCCTCATGATCATGTTCATCATGTTCTTCATGTTCTTCATGTTCTTCAAAGGAAAACCCAGGTTTTCCCGACTTTGTTTTTGAATGAGGCCATCGGACCACACCTCGACAAGGAGGTGTAGGACCTCAGCAAAGACCTGGTTGGTACCCAGTGTGTTTTCATGAGACGGAAAGCAGTGTTTAAACTCTCAGCATGTTTTGCTTTGTTATTGACTTGGATCTGGCGAAAATGCCGGGATCATTTGCATGCATGTAAAGCTCATTTTGAGAACGTGATTGCCATGTGATTGTAGGTCCTTGATCTTTGCTTTGAGCCTACACCCGAGAAGATCTAAGTGAGTGGTATTTTTAATAAAGCTATGTTATACTGTTTTAATAAATCTTGTTTTGCTTTGTTTTGACGAAAGTATTTGTTAAGCATGAATGAATAGCTCTGTTTTGATGTATCAAGTATAAGCCTTGTTTTGATGTCATCCTTGAAAAGTCCCTTGTGCTGGAGGACTTTAAACTTTCGCAGCACTAAGTATAAAAGGATACGGTCCTTTCTTGGAAAGACTATCGTGTTAAAGCGGGCTACGGGCCTAAGTAACACAAGACCATCGTGTTAAAAAAAGCTACGAGCTTAAGTAACACAAGTCCCTTGTGCTGGAGGACTATAAACTTTCGCAGTACCTTTGGCTAATCGATTACGGATCGTGCAGTCCTTGTTTTGCCACTGACGGTTTACCGCGTGGACTTGTTTAAGCTTGATTTGTGTTTTGCCGATGCCAGTGAGCATCCCTTGAGACTTGTAAGACTTGATAGATGAATACGGTTCATCTCTTGTTTTGATAAAGTTTTGATGTGTTTTGTTTTGAAAGACTTCGGCTATATTCATGCAAAACCTTTATTACTAGTATCATTCACTGAGTATCCAAGCTCATCCTCTCTATATATATGTAGGTGATGAGCAGGACGTCGGCGACGCCTAGAATGTGTTTTTTTGAAAGCTTGTTTCGGATCCATGATTTTGTCGGCTTTGTTTGTATTCACGTCCGCGATGTCATTTCTTTTATGTCGGCGAATCTTGAAAATCATGCTTCTTGGCTTGTATTCACTGTCATTTTGTATATGTCGGCTCGAGAAGCCTTTTGATCAAGATGTAATACGTATTTTGCTTTGTTGTATTCAAGTTGTAAAGATGTATGCCATTTCATTGGACTTATGCACTGCTCTTATGGACCACTTGTATTTTGATTTATTGCTTCCGCATTTGTGAGCCCCGTTTGTTATTCTCTGATTGTGTTAAAATTTTAGAAGATGGCCTTCGGTAATCACGGATTACTGGCCATCACGGCACCAAACTACTAGGGGCGGTTTGGGGTCGTGACAGATCATAAGATTTATTATGAGTCTCATTTTAATAATCTGAACTGCTGAATGTATAGAATTTGTCGAGTACTTCATTTTTGTGAGAAATCACATTAATCTAATATCGATAAACCCTTGATCAGAATACTTTTTTGTTAATGGTAAATAAAATTTTAAAAATAAATTATTAACAATAATGTATTCTGATTAAGTAGCTATCAATATCCGATCAACTTGATTTTTTCTAGAGATGAAGTACTCAACGAACTTTATACATTGAATTGTTAACATTATCGAAATGAGAGTTATGGTGGCACCACAAGCCCAATAGTACCGTCTAATCTACAAAAAGAAATGGAAAGAATCCTTTCCCATTAATTATTTAATATTTATAAAAATTTCTCATTCATTTGTAATTATTTTTTCAACAAGCCACTAATGTGATATTTCCCCTTGTTCATATGCGTAACATTAATTGCAAAATGTGTAATCTCGCCACAAATTAATATAATAAAAATGTCTAAAATTTTATAGTTGATATTGTAAAAGTTTGTGGCTTGATTACAATTTTTGTTATACCAATTTGTGACGGTATTACGAATTTTGTAATTGATATTATGAAATTTTATAGTAAAATTATACATTTTTGTGATAAGGTGCATAGGTGCACACCATAGCATTTCCCATATATATTATGCAACTTATTAAATCTAAGATCAATTATAATGAAGAAAAAAAATAATGAAAACAAAAATCTTAAGATCAATGAAATAGGTAACTTAGCAATTTATATAGCAAAGGTCATATCGACACAAACAGGGTGCCTTGCTTATGAAATAAATGAAATAGTTCATAAACCATCAGTCACTTCATTTGGATAGTTAGGCGAAAAAATAAATGAAATAGTTCTAATTTCTTATTTAGATGAAAAAAGAAAATTTATAATTAGCTTATTACTTTCTTGTTTGGATGAACAACAAATAAAAGAGAATGCAAGTATTTTATTTGTTTTTATTTGCTTTGTATTTAGAAGGACAATTAGGTGGTATAAATTTCTTTTTGTAAAGTATTAAGTTCGATTTTCACAATTTTTTGTGAGAAATAAACTTAAGTTTTGGAAACTTCTCTTTGTCACCATTTTGCTTCATTTTCACCATTTTTCACCGGTTTAATAATTTAAGCTAGTAATAACAAATTCTCATCTAACCTCTCATTCAGAAGTATTATAATTGATGATGGTGTGACATTCACGTCGATGATCCTCGCGGATTTTCAACATTTTTTAGCATGCAGTTTAGTAGTTTGTGAAAAAGTTAAATTGATAGGGATATAATGATCACATAAACTTTTTTGTGTGTGTGTGTGTGGATATATGATCACATAAACTTTTGTGTGTGTGTGTGTTGGATATGATGTGTGTGTGTGTGTGTGTGTGTGTGTGTGTGTGTGTGTGTGTGTGTGTGTGTGTGTGGTGGTGGTGTGGGGGGGGGGGGGGAGGAATATTGGGTTGTAGCATTTATTAGTAACTCGGTGTTTAGTCGAGAGATTTGAAAAAGAATTTAAAAAAGAAAATGGAAATGGTATGTGATATGAATAAAATATATTTATATTTTATTTAATTTTACACATTTTTTCCTTTTCCTATCTAAATCTCTTCCCAAATTTTCCAACCAAATACAGAGATATTTGATTGTGGAATCATTAAATCAATTTGGGGGGAGGGGGGGGGAATATTGCGTTGTAACATTTATATTAATACTGTGTTTGGTCGAGAGATTTGAAAAAGAATTTAAAAAAGAAAATAAAAACAACAATGATTCATCCTCCCTTTTCCCCTCACCCCCTTTGACCCCCTCTCTCTCATTGGTTACATTTTCTTTTTCTTTTCATTTTTTTTCCTGCTCCTCCAATCACCACCCGCCACGTGGCAAAGGGGGGTGAGGGGTGACTCCCAAAAGGGGGTCCCAAGCATTATTCAAATAAAAATGGTAAGTGAAATATAAATAAAATATACTTATATTTCACTTAATTTAACACACTTTTTTCTTTCCCTTTCTAAATCCCCCAACCAAACACAGAGATATTTAATTTTGAAATCATTAAATCAATTAAGCCTTCTTGACATCTAAATAATTATTTCTTAATTTGTAAAATTGTAAATAATTTAATTTAAATTTCATTTCTCTAATTAAATTTTATAAACAATTGATTGGACCACTCCAAAAATATTCAATGTACCCATGGTATCATTTGCTATCAAGTCTTCTTGGAGATCATTTTATACACTAATTCTATTATCATTATATATTTGTGTAACCAAAATTATTTATCATCTTCATTGTAATGCGCATAAGATAGAAAATAACCTTTCAGAAGACGAATGTGATTATGATAACATTATTTAATTTTATGTTTTTAAACATTAATCTCAAATGTTTTAATCAAATGATTTTCCCGAGAAAACAGAGCAATCCATGACACAAGCAATTCAACTACGATGGAAGGAAAACAGAGCAATCCGTAGAATCTTCACAGGACACAAGCAATTGAATTCTCCAAATTAAAAAAATGGAAGTGCACAATCAATCACTCATGCCTAAGAAGTGTTTCTGACTCAGGACAAGTACTCCAAAACACATACAGAAGCGGCGAGACTGTGAGAGCTTTATTCCAGTACATCTAGAAATAAAGGAGTGCAAAGAAACTAGCAATGCGAGTGAATCAGAGATCTCACAAGCCATGGGGATCGTCCATCTCTATCATCGATTCAATCACCGGCGTGGGGGCCACGATCTCCGGAATGTTAGACTTTCCTTCTGCTTTCCATCCTGACTGTGCGACCTGGCTCAAATCCCCCTCAACCGTCTGATGAATGTGTGGAAAAGGCATGTAGATTCCATGAACGACGATCTTGAGATTGTACATCAAATCCGGGCTCTTGATCCTCACGTAGTTGATACCGATCGGCGCGTTTGGACCTCCGGTACGTCCGTCGGTGGTCACCACCAGCTTTTGCTCCTGTTCCATCGTCGGCAACAGCGTCCCTGTCAGGTAACTCTCCAAATCAGTGGCCATCAGCAGCCTATTAGGCACAACGTGGAACCGGAAATGAGTGACGTAATCAAATCCGGCTCCGGAGAAGATCGCGACATCGTCGAGAGCAAACACCGTCATGGAGTGAAGGTTCAGGAGATCCGGATACTTGACTCTCAGCGCTAGAGCGACCACGCCGTAACCGCTGATGGTGAGGCGGAGCATCGTGTCTTTCAACATCATACGCATGAGAAACGGCGACGCAGGAGGTGTATGAGGGAAGGAGAGAGAAGTCATTCGCTCTACCTCGCAAGAGTACGGCGAGAGATGAGACATGAAGCCTTGGAGACCGTGAACGGTGACGAGGCCATCGTTGTAGAGATCTGGACGAGTGATCTTCACGCCACCGACGTAGACTTCAGAACTGTTAGAGAGCGTGATGGTAATGCATCGGCCGGGTGATAGGGTTTCGATCTTGGATCCAAAGGCTAATGTGCGGAGGTAGTGGAGAGGGAAGAGGCCTGGGACGGTGTGTTCATGGAGGAGAAGAGGAACGGAGCAGGAACGGCAGCTGAGGAGAGAAGAGTCGGAGGGAGCGAAGATTGTGGTGGGGCCGCTCCATGTGGTGGTGTTGAAGATGGACGGTGCGGCGGCGGAGAATCCATGGAAGCCGAGGTTGGCGAGGATGGGGCCGATGAGCGATGATGGATATGCGTGCTCGTGGATCAGTGGCTGTGATGTCGATGCATGAAACGGTTCTTGGAAGAGTGGCGGTGGTGGTGATGATGGTTCCTGAAGCGGCGTGGTAGCAAAAGCGCCGCCGCCAGCGGCGGTGGTGATGGAGGTGGAGAGGAAGATAGAGACGAGAACGAAGACTTGTAGTAGAAGAGCTGTAGTGGTAGCCATGGATTCGAGATTACAATTATAGAGAGAGAAATTTTGTAGAGAGAGAGGCGATGAGGCAGGAGATGAGTGAAGAATTGAGTGGGACTGATGTGGTTATATAACTGACTGCACGAAGGCGGTTATCATTCTCTTAGTCGAAATGGCGAGAAGACCCCTCTGATATTGCCTTCGTTTCAAAAGTGGGTTAACTTTTTGATATTTTTAGTTATTTTGGTTTGGATTAAAAAATTTAGTTTGAAAAAAAAATTTTGAATTTTTTTTTTTTTTGGTAAGAAAATAATGTAATGATTACGAGTTAGATGTGATGTTTTTTTTGTTATGACTAAAAAAGTTTATTTTGTCTTTTGTGGCTATTTTAGTTACAAACCAACTTGCCAAACAATGCCGTTCAATGGACGGTTTTGCCATGTCAACCAAAATTATTGAGCAATCTCAAAATATGAATATGTGGTGTTAATTATATTTTTTTTGATCGGCAAATAAATATTTATTGATGACGCATACAAAGTATGATTGGGTACATCAATAAAGAGGAGCTTAGAGCTAACACGAAGCTCTAAGCGCCCGTTGGTGAGGAACCAACAAAAGAGAAACAAAAGGTACTGCTATAAAAACAAAAGGTGCTGCCACCAAAAGCCAGGTAGGATCCTGGTGTGCATGCAACCCATTGACCCATGAATATGTAGTGTTATATGATATTATGATTGGTGTAAAAAATAGATAAGTGAGATATTATCTTGGATAATTAAAAAAACATGAAATGGCATATTTAATAATAACTGGTTAGGAAATATAGATACATGATACTCTAGAAATATTAAATAATTTTTCATATATAATTTTTAATTTTAAATCATCTCACTAATTTGGGAGCACTATAAGCTCAAAAATCATGATTTTTTTAAACAAAAAGTTTGTGAATCCAGATATGTGGTACTGCAAATGAGTCTAATCGAATACGAAATTTAATATATTTGGATTTGTTTATTAAAAATTTAATAAATTTGAATTTGAAATCAACCTTAACAAAAATTTAATGAATCGAATTTGAATTGAGTTGACTTAAGTTTGATTTGAGTTTGAGTGAAAACCTTAACAAGTTAAAAAAATTATAAATTCATATTTGCGTATAATACTAAAATTATAATTGAAAGTTTGATTTTACAATTATATATATAATATATAAACATATTAAAAAATAAAGTTAATATCTTATCAAAATAATAATATTTACCACTACTATTACATAAATGTATTATCTATAGTTAGCTAATATTATTTACATATAAATAAATTTAGCTATTTTTTTATATTTATATTATTTAAATATATAAATAACTTATTTATCTTATTTTTATACATAATTTTATGTTATTCAAATAAAAATTAAATGAGTTAGTGAACGAGCTGAACTAATGAGCTGAGTTTTTGTATGTTTGAGTTTATTTATTAAGATTTTAACGACTTCGAACTTGAGTTCAAATGCGATAAAAATTTAATGAACCGAGTTCGAACAAGTCCTTACCAAGCCAAACTCAAGCATATTCATGAACGGTTCTGTTCATTTGTAGTCCTAATGCTCCCCGAATTTACCTCAAATGGGGATGTATGGTTGAGATTAAATTTTTGTAGTATGGAATCCATGTATAAGATAAATCTAAACCACAAGATAATCATTGTATGTAATTTTTGAATAGTTAAGTCTGAATTTGTAGTATTAATATTTTTTTTAAAAACAATCACATATTATAATTATGTCATTTTCTTTTTCAATAAGTGTGTTATTGGTGTAATTTTTTTATTTTTTTTTAATTACACTATATTTAGAATTTTTACTCAAAACAAAAATTAAAAATTATGATTGTGTAGTAAACAATACATCATTTGTAAAAGATAAATTGATAGAGAGAGAATAAATTGTATGTATTATGATTGATATTAAGTGTGTCTTTACAATGTGAAGATGACTCTCCTTTTATAGAGAGGAGAGTGTACAAAGGGGCAAAGAGAGCCTTAAACACTAACATATAATAATATACTAATAGCTCCCCTCAAACTCAAAGAGGATAGGCACAAACCAATGTGAGTTTGGAGAGAGTAACAAAATAAGAAAATAAACTAATACATAAAATAAAATAGGATATGAGACACTGTATGGTCGTGTCAGATTGTTGGTGAAGACACTGTATGGTCGTATCGGACCGTTGTAACAGCTAACCGGAATTAATGTCGGGACAGTTTACGAGGTCATGTTGGACCGATGTAGAAGCTAATCGGAATCAATGTCGGGACAGTTTACGGGATCATGCCATACCGTTGTAGCAGCTAACCGGAATTATGTCGGGACAGTTTACGAGGTCATGTCGGACCGATGTAAAAGCTAACCGGAATCAATGTCGGGACAGTTTACGGGGTCATGCCGGACCGTTGTAGAAGCTAACCGGAATCAATGTCGGGACAGTTTACGGGGTCATACCGGACCGATATAGAAGCTAATCGGAATCAATGTCGGGACAGTTTACGGGGTCATGCCGGACTGTTGTAGAAGCTAACCGGAATCAATGTCGGGACAGTTTATAGGGTCATGCCGAACCGGTGTAGAAGAATTTGGTGGTGCACCAAGGTGGCGACTTAAGAAGTGCGCCATGGGGTGGCTTGGGTGATTCCCATGGTGTATAACCATGCTCACCAGCTTTGGTGGTTCGCATGGTGTGTAACCATGCTCACCATGATATATGTAGAATACCCTCCCTCAAACTTAAATAGGTTTGAAGATAGAAACCTATTGGAGGTTGAAACAAATGGATTGATAAAGTGGAGCGGAACAACTCAACACTGAGTGGAGATGTTTAAAAAAAAAAAAAATGGTAGAAAGTTTTTTTTTTTTTTGTGTCTTTTGTTTTGTTTTGTTTTGTTTTTTTTTTTTTTTGTGGTGGAAAAATAATAATAATAATAATAATAAGATAATGGAAAAAGGGATGATGCTCACCAACTGAGATGTATAATAATGAAATATTGATGAAAAAAGAAAGATAGAAAAAAATAAAATAAAATAAAAGGAAGGTAGTGGGATCAGGAATCTGGAAAAGCTCACCAACGGAGTGTTAAAATAAGGAAACCTCGAGAGAGAAAATGGATGATTTTTTTTTCTTCTAATGAATGGAGAAAGGAAGATAAAATAAATAAAGTTAGAGGTAGTGGGATCAGACTGCGGGTTCCTAGAGCTATGGGTTGAAAATAATAATGATGTGGGGGTGAAAAAGGAAATAATGTGGGGGAATGGGATAAAATAAAATAAAATATAAAATCAGTGGGGAATGAGGTTTCCAGCGAGGAAGAGGAAGAGGATTACACCGCAAGACCAGGCGTCGACCTTTGCGCCGTCGTAGCCGCCGTGACGAAAGGCTTTCGAGGAGGTGTATGCCGGAGTTCTGCAGGCGGTTTGGAGCATCTCGCGGTGGAGCTGGTTTTCCGGCAAGGCGGAGAGGTCGAACTCGGAGATTCTGGTCAGAATTTGGTCAGAGTTTGCGGTGGAGCAGACCATAGTGGCACCGATTGTAGCCGTTGTAGGCGACTTCTGCCGCTGTGTGTGGCCACGGTACAAAAAGATCGTACCAAGAGTTGCAAACGAAAAATGTACTTTCTCAGAGTTGAATAAGTCCCTCTGGAGCTGGAGCTGCCGTGGGGATGTCGGAGCTGGAGAACTTGGCCTCCGGCAAACAAGTTGTGAAGCTGCCACTGGGAGGGGTTGTTGTGGAGCTGCCGTGGGGATGAGTTTGAGTGTGTGTCAGTGTTGCAAGGGCATACACAAGATGTTGAAATGGTCCAGTGGCATCCGTCAATGGATGTGTTGGTCTCGTGTAGCTATGACAACACCATCAAGGATTGAGCAGAAGAGTTCTTCGATGACTGAGCGAGAGCAGCATGGCGGAGTTCTCCAGTGAGCTCGGTGGCGGCAGAAACAAAGGGGCAGCAACAAAATTGGACTGTCTGATCATGAATCAACGCAGATCGTCAAGTGAGTATGTGTAGAAAACTCCAGCGGGCAGCAAAGGCAAGATTGCCGGCCGACTGCCCGCCGGTGAGAAAGAAATATAGGCCTAAATCTTATAGCTCTGATACCATGTTAGAGTAATGTATAGAGAAAGAGAGAAAATAAATTGTGTATATTGAATCTATATTAAGTATCTATTGTGTTAGCTCCTTTATATAGGAGAGAGTTTACACAAGTTGAGGATTTATAAACCGAAAGTGGCGGAAAGTAAAGAAACACAAATGATTAAAGCTAAAGCCTAAAGCAATCACTAAACATATTATTATACATTAACATATTATAATATTATACATTAATAACACTATCACACTAACAGGTATAATTTCTGGGAGGTTTTGAGCGGGATTCCCGATCTCCAACAAGTGGTATCAGAGACTCTGTAGACACCCCCATTTTGACCGGCCTTAAGACTTGGGCGTTTTTTTTTACCACCCGATGATGAAACTTGGAATATGCTATTTTATGAATTTCTCAGTAGAAAAATCAGATTAAAGCTTTAATCCCAAACCTCACCCATTTTGGTCAAATTATCAATTTGTAGTATTTTATAATTTTATGTGTGTACATATTTTTAGGTGGTGCTATATAAATTGATACATTTTAGCTATTTTGAGAAAAATATTTACCTTATCATGTTATAAAAATATAAATTAAATAAATATGTATGATAATTTACACGATTAATTTATAACATAAAAAAAAATTCTAAGATACATGAGGTTTGCCTTTCCTCGGCATCTGAATCTTGAGTTTACATGATCCCAAAAATCCTGCTAAACCAAGTTATCGATCATTAAAAAAAAAAATTATTGAGTAATTATAAAGTGTGATTTTGATTTTTGATTTGTTGTTTTTTTAGCTTGCAATTTTTTTTTTTTTTTTTAATAGATGTGATGCAATTAAAGATTTAGGAAAAACTTGTTTGTAGGTCATATTTTATGCATAAAATATAAATAAATATGTTTCATAACTTCACCGCCCGGAAACTCTTGATTTT